ATCGAAATCCATTACAGCGCCCCAATAATCGAAAGGTAGAATCCGTCTGTAGTTTGTCACAATTTACACGAGGTACACGGAGCATAAAAACAGTCTTATAAATGATTTACAGGGCGGCAGTCAACAATATTATGCAATAACATATTTAATGGGGCTGTCATCATGATGAGACTACACCTTGACGTGGTGTGATGGCTTGTGCACCTCTCTGACCCAACGAACTACACAGGATCGCTTTTCTCAAGCCGAAGATTTAATCATGTCTGGAAGGTCGGAGGGTAGGGGTCGGACGAAGTCCAGTCTCTTGGTCCTCCAGGTTGAGGGTTCGACTAGAATTTGTTTCCGTCGGTAAAAAAAATAGTGGAAGATTAATTAATCCAAGTAAGCGGGCCTCCACTTCGCTTCACCCGCTGCCTTGCGGCTAGGCTTCAGTCAGAACTAAAGGCTTTGGTTGAGAACCCTAATCGTTCTCCTGCAGTACCCGTTCATCAAACCCCAATGCATATGCATTGCATATTTGGCAGTGAAGTTCGCTGTACGATGATGATGATGATGATGATGACCGTCAGTGCAAACCGAATCGAGGCCAATTTAAAAATCCCAATAGAGAACATTATTGCTGACTCTCCAATCAGTTTAATACAAAAGGTCTTCTAGCGTGAAATTTCAGGCAATCAGAACGTCAGTGGACAGAAGCATATCAACCCTCGGTTTTCAAAAAAGACTCTCTTTCTAGGGTTCTTATTATTTTTGGAACATTTTGAATATTGTGTAGTTTTAACAATCGGATTGTAATTTTATAAAATATTTGCATATCGTGGGATTATTCACTTATTTACCTGTCCATTTATCCATATGCATGGTTGAGTTCCAGCTGTTGTTTGCTGACCGATGTTGCGGATGTAGTTGTTGCGAAGGCACACTCGATGATTATATTTCGCCATTTTCTGTCTCACCTTTTCGGTGCTCCAGTGGGTCTATGCCTTTTCTAAGAGCGTCCGAATGCAAATGGTCTCGTGACAGGTTGTATGCCTGTTATTGTTGTATCCCGGGATTGGATTTGCACAACCAAGTGCGCGAACTGTAAGGTGGCAGGAAGTAATTCCTCGCCTCGGAAGTCAGGGGGACAATGACTTTCGTTTTAAAAAGCCAACCACATCGACCCTTGTCAGGACACCGTCATTGGGCTCATACAGCTTTAAACAAGAGCCAGGTGATCAGCCTGAAACCCACCACACCCCGATAGTGCTGCCGCTGATTGTTCGCGACTATTTATTTGTTGCAGTATGTCACAACTTATTCACAGCTAACCGTCCTCGGTGAAGGTATCCCCCTATCTACAACCCTGAAGCATTCAGCTCTGCTTAACCCGAGGGTATCCGCCATCGTTTACAGGATTAGGATGCATAAATATCGGGGTGTTATAAACTAAAACCTGAAACAAAGAACAATGTCGGTTGGGAAAAAGCTTTGATAGAACTCACCGAGAAGTTCGATGCGAATTGATCCGATTCGTGAAACTGGAGCAACAGAACTGCTTGAAGTCCCGGCGAGGTTGGTACCCATACCAGACGCCTCCTCCGGAAGCAAATGAACCATATATAAACGACCAGCCATATCGCCCAGAAGGTAACGCTGAGCATCCACCATTGTGTAGCATAATACTTGACTTGCCTGAAACATGGGCATTGTAAGAACAATGCAATTGTGTACGTGGGGACCAAAACAATTTACAATCATGAAGAAATGTACAACTTCGCCGATAGCAATGAATGAGGACTGCCAGCATAGGCCTTATTAGTTTACGGTCTCCCGATTTTGCTTGATTTGTATGACGATGCATACGGTAAGCACTGCTGTATACAATAACAACACAATCTGTTCCACAAACAGCTAAGAGTCTCGAATGAAAATATACAATTCAGTGAAAATCACGAACTTGTCCGATCATAGGGATGAACTAGGTTTTCGACTAATGCAGCCGATTTTGAGGCTAACAATGCTGGTGATTTCAAAACACAATATGCTACCCACGGCCAACATCTGAAAATATATAAACTATATACACATATATTACGTTATATAAATTATAAACTTGTGAATGCATAGATACTTCACGCTGCAACACCCCATCCAACCCCCAATGGTGGTACGGCCTGATCTGTTGAGAAAAAATTATTTACTGGCAAGATATCTAGAACACATTTGAAAATATAACGGCATCACCAAAGACATTCGCGGAATCTAATGTCGATCGACACTTAAATACATGCTAAAATTGCATTTCAAAAATACTCTCAGACACCCATCATCTGTTATGCAACGAATTTTCAAAAGTTGTAGCCACATCATCCACACGCTCGTGGTTCAAACTTGTATTTGCTCGTATCTCTTCAAAGCATATGTCACATATGAAGTTGTTGATAAAGAGAAAGTTTCCACAGAAATACGTAACTGCCTGCTTCCGTGAAAAAGCCGATATTTGATAAATTTGAGTTTCTTTTTCTTTTAAAAATATAAAATTCACACTCATGGCGTAAAAAGATGAAAATTGGCCCATCCGGATGCATTAAAAGCTCCGACTGATAAAAGCACGGAACATTTGTTTCATTCTTTTTGGGTGGACTGGATTATTTCAAGCTAATAACCAAAAATCGCTGCTATCAGAAAAGAAAATACTAGTGCTGAACCCAACCCTGAGCTCACTCAAACCTCAAGGTCGGACCTCCAAGCGGATCAGCACGGGTACGCAGAATATGTTCCCAGTGTACATCGGGTTCCGAATTTTGTGGTTGAAGTCAAAAAGAAAACCAGTATGTGAAAGTGTACCGAAGTGACCAAAAAACGACTAGAGGCACAGTATAAGCACTCGACTGAAGCCGACTGCTTTCAATACATCAACCGAAACTAGTAGTTATTAAATAACACTTGACCGGAAAGTGAAAAGATCCATGTCGTCAGTATATTCTCAAACTGAGGGTTCAACCGATGACGATATGTATTGTGACCTTATATATCCAATACTTGGTTATCCCTGAGCTCTTCGGAAAGCAGTGGACATATTTTGTCAGCTTTGTTTTGATTTATTTTCTATATCAAACAAATTCGATATCCACCTATGTGTGTACTGATAGTATGTATTCGCAAACATTGACCGCAAATTTAGATTTTTCGTAGATGCATCTCTAGTCTTTGCATAGTCTGAATGGTAGCTGACAAGAGGTTTTGGCCGCTGTAACTAGATTGATTTGGGTAATGGGGTCCCTGACTTGAACCCCTGCACCACCAGCACCACTGTCTCAGGGCTTTCTGGGTTTCATGAGTAGGTTCGCTTGACT